GGAGGAGTGAAGGCTGTTGGATTGTGCGAATAAGTCCTCGACCCGCCCTCCTGCGACCCTCATGAGCCCCTGTTCAGCTTTAGTCTGTTGCATAACGGGCACGAATCCCTTCCAGCAAATTTTTCCTTCGAAATTACAGGTCGACTCACACCAAAGGACTAGAGAATTCTTCGAAATCCAGCTTCTGCTCATACTTGTCGTATCTCCTATGGCCTATGTCTGTTGGAAAATTGCGTTAATATTTATTATCTTTTACTTAGTGCATGAATCTTTTCGCAAGCTAAGATTTCTGCCACTGATACCTCCTTTTTAGGAGCCGCTGATTTCTGTTTATCTCCACCGCCAGATGGTCATTTTACTTCCCTCGACGCGGACATTGACAGTCCTCCATACCCCTTGTTCCAGGCCCAGGAATTATCACAGGTCTGTTCATCTAGAAGCGTCGCAATCGAACCTCCAGCTTGTGAAGCGTCCCAGCTCACCTTTGAACAGCCGAGTTCTCCGCCCAAAACTTTAAGCTCGCATGCTCTTTTGCCTCGGCACCACAGCGCCAATACATTTTTCAGTGGACAGACTTCTGGAAGCCTCTCAGAGTTAAGGAAGCTGTCGTTGCCTCCTCACCCGTCTCAAGCGTCGCTAACGCCGCAGCCTTTGTCAGGTACGCCACTTCTTGTCCACTTCTTGCCCGCTTGTCAACCAATCTCAGAAGAGGAGTCGCTAGCTCTACCAGGAGGGCCACTGGTCACCACTTCGCCCCGGCCCACTATCAATTTGGCTACGTCTGAATTAGACTCTCGAGAGCCGACATTTACAACTACTGGAAGTTTTAGTGAGGCAGGGCAGCCGCGCGATAATTCAGAAGGCGGAAATCAGGCCTTGAATTCACTTACATATCCGAGCAGCCAGAATCCTTATCACCTAGACATTGGACGTCTTCTTCGAGGTTAGTTGAGATTTGCAATTACCACTTCATTCAACCTTGAAAACTCGAAGCTTTTTTCTCTGTTTTTTTTTTCGTTCCATACCACATCATTCAGACTATTCCCACGTAGTATTATGACCCAGAGTCTTAATATGCTTGTCTAATTGGCAAGTTTGTTGAAGAGATTCGAACTTCCATGAGATTTTCACATTTTAGTTTATTGTCATGAGGCCTACTTTTTGGCAGCCTTTTTTTTATCTATTACTGTCTCTTCGCCTTGTGATATGAACGAAAACTCTTGGCGTTATGATTCATTTTATAAGAGTTAATAAAGGAATCTGATCCAAATTATTTTGCGAAAATTATTTTGGCATTGAATTGTAACAAATTATATTGAAACCCTACTATCCAATCAATTTTGCTATATGGTAATAACTCATTTGCCTGAAATTACTGCAGCAAACAAGTTAAACGGTCTTTCTGACAACGTAAAGGCATATAAGATATATTCACCATATTTCGTTTAAGATTATGAAGGACCTTAAACGAAATAGAGTGAA